TAAAAACAGAAATACTCATGCTGTACTCGAACAAGCCAACAAATACCCCCTCTGCCCCCCCCCCCCTCCAAAAAAAAGACAGGAAGTTTCACACTCTTTCCCAAAGAGTCTTATTTGATAACCTCACTACACTATCAGGTCGGGTAAGGTCTGTGTACTTCTACCTCCCCAGACCCAATTTTTAGGACTTATTGGGTTGTTGTACCAAAACATATGATAAATTTAGTAACACCAAAAAATAAATTAAAAAAAGTAAAATAAAAATAGGATTAAAGAATTACTGAAATTGTATGTTACCCAAATTAGTTGTAGCGTATCAAACATGATTGTTTTGGGACAAAGGTAGTAAATGTTTTTTAAGGATTTAAAGTATTAGACTCCATAAGGTCTTGAACATAATGACTATTCTGTATTAAAATTTCAAAACACATTCATCGTCAATACTTGACACACTGATTAGATTTCATGAATGATATTACAATGATGATAGATAGATAAAAACAACCAAGAAACATAAATGCCAAATAATAAAAATAAAAATAAAAAGTTGAAAACTGTTGTATCATTTAGAGAATAGAGATCAGATGAAATTTGAGCAAAAGAAGCAGCAACATATTGCTATAAAAGTCCAATATAAAATCTCATTTAAAAAAACTCTCATAATGTTGGACAGAACATCAAGTATTACCATATATTTTTTATATGCCATCTCTACAAGTTTGTCAAAAGCAAGCTGTTCAAAATCCCTACAACACGTTAAACACTTCATTAGGATAAGATCATGTGAAGGTTATATAACATATCACAAATCAAGCTATATTACTTCTCTTGACACGCTCTTGTCTTATCAGCCGAGTCCAGCAGTTTGTGCAGCATATCATTCTTTTCCAAAACCTATAGATACAAAGAAAGATCAAATAAAATGCAGCCAACAGTACTTTGTAGTGTGGTATCAAGGATTAAACAATATTTTACAATATTTTGTAGTGTGGTTTTAATATCTAAATAAGATGTCTATGGTCAGGCTGAGTGATGAAGAACAAATATGGGAACGAATCATTTGCTCTGGATAATAGCTTTGGAAAGGCATGTACCAAACCAAGCCAAATATACCCAGTATCTCACACTCAGTAGGGTTTGGGAAGGGTGAGATGTAAGCAAATCTTACCTGTATCCCTAATCCCTAAGAGACAAAGAGTAGACAGAATGACGGATTATTTCAGTGAAAACTCCTAGCTATACAAAATTTTGGAAATTTACGGAATATGTTAAAAATGTGAAAGTTCTTGAGATTTTTTTTAAAAAAATGGCTAGGTTCTTTTGCTATTGGTGACGAATGTCATAATATGGCATTGGACCATTTGAGAATTGAGACCCCTAATGAGCTCTGTTGGGCCTGAAAGCAATTCCTACCCCCAACCCCCACTCCCTAGCTCACCTCTTGCATCCCACCCCAACCCCTCTAGGTCACCATGGTGTTTAAAAAGTTGTATAGTTTTTGAAATATGAGGGGCTTTGAATTTTTTCTTTTCCTTTATTTTTCTTTATAAACGCATGAGGAAGGAGTGGGGTAGAATAAATGTGTGCAATATATTAATTCACTAACAGATCATACCAGTTCCTGATACTTCTGGTCTAGTTTTCTGATATCACCACTAATTTCTTCATCTCCGTCCTGTGCCATGCCACTCTGCATTAAGAAACAAGTTTTCAAGTAATACAAGAACAAGGAATAAAGCATAATGCTAACATGAAAGTGAACCAAAACCTACATCTGGTTCCGGGTAGATTCCAATGTATTGGACCTCCAGGAGAAGTCTCTCATTAATTGACATTTTATTATACTGATATTCAGTACAGAAAACATCAGACATCATTACTTCGTCTAGCAGTAGGCCATTTTGGGTATGATTACAGTCTGATAAAAACTCTCTCTCTCTAACAGGTCTAATGCTACAATCTGGCGTACTATGGTCCCTCTCATCAAATGATTTTCCATTAGCATATTTCCTATAGCCATTAGAAGCTAGGTGTCTTGAATCAGTGTTGTATGTTGTTCTTCTATGCAGTATATCCAATTCTGAATCCATGTCCAGATCAGATATAGGCTGGTACACATTGAACTTGGGATCTTCAGTTCCACTGCATGATAATTCTTCACTTGCTTCTTCAGGTATTAGCGCAGCCATCAGTCTCTGATATAGGGAAATCGGGGCAGCCTTTGTTGTTCCTGAAACGCCATGCTCCAAACTAAATTCAACACTCCTTGCTTCATCCCCATCTCTGTCAACCCCATTTGGAAGCATAACCAACTTGCTAGCTGCAGTAACTATTGGGGCTGGCGTAGCCACAAATTTTCTACTATTTACCTGAAGAAAGACACCAAAAGAAAAAAATTTAGATCAAACCAAATATAAGCAAGAAAGACGTAAGTTTTTTTATTACTTCAGTATATTATTATGCTCCTCACTCACATCTGTCTCCTTTTAGGCACCAACTAATGAAAGAAAGCCTCATGCGTAACTGTTTAAAAATAATATATTTTCTACATGTACATTATAGTATGAATTTCAGTGAACTTATATTGGTAGGCATGTTTAAGTGTGCTGCCTTAAGTAATGTTGTAATGTTGAAGTAATTTTAAAGGTGAATTTCAATTCAAGAAAATTGTAATTCGTAACTAGTCTAACAACTTCACAAGGCTCAAATGATTCATAAAGCGTTGAAAGCGGCATATGTAAAATGAGAGTTCTTGTGAGCAGCACTGCATGAATTCTCATTTTTCTGACAGACATGAAAACAATATTCCCTATTAAGTTTGTTCTTAGAAAAAATAAAGTATAACTACTGCATAGCCGATAAAAAGACTAGAAACCATATAAACGGAAAAAAATCGCATACGCAATTACCTGTTGATTCAAAAAGGTGATATCTAAGTCTGAAATAAAGCGAAAAAGCGACTCCATCCGCTTCCAGAATGGGCTGGAAAGCGCTTGAGCTGCAGTAGTGACATGTTAAATCAGAGGATTATTTACACATAGTTTGACAAGGAAGCAAAGAGGAATCTCAGTATTAAATTACCCGTGTTGGTAACATCACTTGCAGCAGCCAGTAACTCATCTTGTCCATCATAGGAACCAACTATGGAAGAGGGGCAAAGAGAGTAATTACGATAATATTAAATTCAAGTGGTTTACTCTACATTCACATGCCTGTAAATTAGTCCAACTCCAGGCTCTGCTTACCTAAAAAATCAGCTGCTGCATTAATAGTTGAATGCTTCTGACGTTGATAAGCTCTGCGATCAGAGAGCTTCCTTGTGGGTGGGCGACCTGCTTTGCTGCATGAAAATTCCCATAAAATCATATGATTCACTCTATCCACGGCTAAGTGATAAATACTATCAAGTATCAAGAAATCAACTCCTTAATCCTAACAATGTTGGGGTTGATGGCATGAAAATTATACCAATTAATCATCTAAAACTATTTAAAAATTAACCCTATTTCACGCTAAAAAAGGAAAAGGGGGGGGGGGGCATAGTTTTATGACATATGCCCTTCCTAGCACAATCTTCTAAAGAAGCAATAATGAGGTGGAATTTTAAAACCGGCCATTTTTTCAATGATGAGTTTGAGATGATGCATACCATAGTCATGTCCCATTGCAAATACAAATAACAAAAAATATAGGGTGAGAACAAAATGTCCTAACCTCTCGGATTTATCAAAACTATGTCTCGAACTTCTCAGTTGTTTAGCAGTTCCCACATTCCCAAGCTTTTCTACGGTTAACGGTGTAAGAGACCCACTTGACGTAAAACTACGATTGGACCTCCCTTGCCTTCGTACACCATCGCTGTGTTCATCCCCACCTACCAACTTATTTTTTCTTGGTGGTAGCAGCAAAGTTGACATCTTTTGGGTATTCACTCCGATCTTTCCATCCACTTCATCAGACCTCTTGCTTTTATCTTTGGACTTGGTTTCAGCAACGCCAGACTCCTCACTTCCAGATGCAGCTGAGAAGTTGTCACTTCTTAATTTAAACTGCTGAGGAGAAGAGCCAGACAACCGTCTTTCATTACCCACCGCCTCAGCAGAATTTTCTGAGACAGGCGTTTCAGCATTATTCGGAACACTGGGAAAATTAGTTCTTCTAGCTGTTCGAGAGCTTTTTTGGGGTCGCTGGCCAGCCCACTGACCCACAGGTGGTGATGACGACCTTGCTGTAGACGTACGCTTACGGTTACCGGCCGCGGAAGTCAACGGAAGTTTGTTTGTACAATGAGAAACTTCCCAATCATTAGCAACTCCAGCATGTTGAACCATAGGGCCCAATTTTGGTCCAACACCTACGCCTGACCGTGGAGCCCGAGGAGCGCCATTCAACTTTGCACTAGAGGTAGGGCTTCCTGAGCTTAGATCTTCTCGAGCAGTTGTCTTGGTGGCACTGGATGAAAAGGATAATCCCACAATGTGATTGAAAATCGGAGAGAATCATAAACAAATGCAAAAAGTTACTATTGTAAACAAAACACCCCAAGGAAATTCATTGAATTAGAGAATAATGACCAATTATAATTCAAGTAAACTAAATAATCAATTCTTGTCATACTTGTTGACAGCTCTAACATTTGTCCTTTCTTTCTCTGAACCAATTGGACGATCTCTTCTATCATGGAGAGAACCATTATCCAGCTCAGCCTTGGAAAATGAAGAACGCATAGCAAGAGAAGCTTGTGGAGAGGTTGCATCAGTTTTTCCCAGTCCAACACTCCCTGTAGTAGTTCCATTCCTGTATTCAGATTATAATAGAACACATTAGATAAAAGAAGGTATTTGTATCTAAGAGACACACACTACAGGTTTCCAATTAAGAAGTTACAATGCATTATTGATCAAATGGACTCGGATACATTTCTAACCCCGACAAGTTCATGCTAGTTACAATTCTCAAGTTTGAACTTTACTATTCTATCCATAAATGACAGATGAGAATCTCTTTTAGGAAAAAACTTTTATGGAAAAAATAAAGATATTACCATCCATTTCATATTATATCCAAAACACCCCAAGGAAAAAAATCAGATGACATGGGAAAAGAAGTCAAAGTTTTATCTAGTGTGTAAGGAAACTTTACATTTAACTGATTTAAGTATTTAACGGTGTCTGTAAAGCAAAATAAAATCAAGATTGGATAAATAGCATATCCAGGATTTAAGATCAAATGCAACGGTCAGGCGGGTCAGTCAAACAAAAAATAACAATAAACCCAGAAAACTCCCGTAAAAAGTAGGGTCTCGGACTTGTGAAACTCGCGCACTTTTCACAGAGTTACTCCCTCAAGTGGGGTTCGAACTCGTGACCTCCCAATCTCCCATTAGGCAGGGCCAGGCTGCCACTGGACCACAAGGTCTAAACCAAAACATACATTTTTATAGCATCCATCCCGTTTACAAAATCCTCATGGTGCCCCACATGCTTACACAATGCACGTGAGTTCGAGTCGAAAATACATAGAATAAAAGAACTATGATAGGCATCTTTTTCCTTATCCCAATCGATTCATCCCATATTTCGCATTACACTTTTCTGCATTGTAGCTTGTTTACTTCTTGTACTGGTTTATGCAGAATGGCTTGATAAATTTTTCTATTGATATGGATGGAATGCTTAATCAAGCTGAGATACTGAAAACTGTATCTACACGTTATCCAATCTTGTGGAGAGAGTTTATCTCAATTTGATTCAGCAATATATACTCTATTCTTCAACTTAAGGGGTCTTGTATCAAAAATCAAAATGAGACACTGAAGTTTGATAATCCATTCATCAAAAATAAATTTGTTACAAAAGAAATCAATAGATAAATAAAGTCTTCAGCAAATAATCCATTCACCCCAAAATTCATACACACACACACACACACACACACACATATATATATAGACATTGATGTAAGCAACTGGTGTCATTTTCATTCTTACATACATACATACATACATACATATATATATATATATATATATATATATATATATACTCCCTTCGTCCAACATTAATGTTCCTGTTGTGCGTTATGATACTTGACTAAAGTTATTTTCAAATCATTTTATATGAAAAATCGTTGAAAAGATCTACAAAACTAGAGGTGACATGATTATATTATTTTATCAAATGCGCAACGAAAATGCGCCAACAAAGTGAACAAAGTTTGACCTTGGGAATAGTGAACGTGAATATTATTGTTATGGACGGAGGGAATATGTGTGTGTGTGTATGTATGCACTCTGTCTTTAATTAATCTTCCTTCTTCCCCTTTCCCATTTCCCAAAACACTTTTTACATTCACCTTAAAACTTGCAATAATCAAAGAAGGAAGATTTTACAAAGACAGAGGGTGTGTGTGTAGTTCAATAATATGTTCTTTTTTTATTTAGTAGGAATAATATTTTCTAAATTTATAATTCATTCTCAATAAAGGTTCGAGATGCTAAGACTTGAAAAATAACACTCATAAAATAAGCAAAACTTATTTTTAAAATGCAATAGTTTCAAGAATTTAACCAATGCAATCAAGCGGTCTAGCCCAGGAAACTGATAGTTGCATGAGTTGCAGGTTTACCTGAAATTGTGGTTATCATTCAACCTAGAACGAACATCAGTTGAAAGTCGTGACTGCATTCCTTGTTTTGATTCTCGGTATCCATCAACTGGTTTAGCTGCAGCAGAGCCCCCAGACATGTCCGGCTTTATTCCAGAACGCTTCTTCTTCATCCTTAATTTCTCCCAACCTTCTATGGCAATTGGTGTTGATGTTCTATCTTCACCATGGATGGAGTTATTGTTGGGAAGCCTCAAGTCCCTATCCCTATCAAGGTTACCTGACGGTCTTGCAAGAGTGTTTGGTCGTACTTCAGACTAAATTAACAAAACATATCAGTCATTTCAGGGAAAAGATTGAGTAATTTAAAGTTTACAATCATGATGAGCAAACACATCAATAATAATCCCAACGTTGTTGTCAAGATGTACACAACCTTGCTCCTTTAAAGGCCATAGCTACATAGCCTAAGCATCATTTTTTAAGGCCATTAACAAACACAATTGAGGCGATGAGGTCCAAACGGAGCAGTTTTTGCTATTTAATTTTATCTTCTACTCCTTTTTTAGTGTGTGTGGGGGGAGAGGGGGGGTGGAATTATACTGGTTTTATTGTTTTTGTTTTGAAGTTGATAAGAAAATATCATCCAGAAACAGTAGTCATAGCAAGTCTTGCCCAATAAACATGCAATCCACCAGAAAGTGAAACAGGATATGACTACCCTAAGGAATCAAATATTGAGTGTACAGGCCATTGGATCTACCATAGAAGTTCGGGTACGTTTGCTTGGAATAACAGTTTTTGCCCTTTCATCTGACTTTTGCTGCTCTACTTCAAACCCACCGATAATGCTATGATTCTGGGTCCCTATCTTACTAATGCTTGTCCCAGAAAGTGGACGCTCAGTTGAAAACGAAGCAATATTTCTGTCATTGGATAAGACATCTGAGCGAGATCTTTTCCTGGTTGGAACATTAGGGAAACATTTGCTGAACACAGATGAAGATTCATAGAATATCTTCACACGTTCCCTGATATAATGTACACATTATTAAAAACATTGATTGACCTCCATGAAGTAAACAAACAAGAGAAAATATCATTCCAAAAACTACCTAGCCTTGATGCAACCATCTCGAAGACTTAATTTTAGCCGTCTACCATCCTCGGGTGAGGAAGAAGATAGTGTTTTTCCTTTTGAAGACACGGATGGAGAATCGTCCAGGGGTACACCAAGCGATAGACTTGTAAGACGCTTATAATCTATTTGTCTGAGTTTGTGTTCAGTAACCAATGCTTTTGGATCAATGCGTAAGCACTGAAAGAATTTGACAACATCTCCCTGCGTTGCACCTGAACTGCTTCTTCCCATGTTTGCAAGAGAAGATGACATTGGGTTGTCCATATTACCTGTTTTGTCAAGTGACATGACTCCGTAGGATCCACGATGTGCGGATCCATATAACGGCCTATCAGGGCTACTGGAAGTGAGATCATATTTACTAGATGCAGACATCGCATCAATCCCCAAAAGCTTTCCTTGTTACACACCTTGTTAGCACAGGTTTGCATGGCAATGCTGTTCAACAACTGTGCATGATTACCAAACACACACCGGTGAATATAAAATTAGCACTGCAATATTCCTGGGGGAAAAATCCAGCAAAAAATTAATCTCATTCAGAATTCATCACCAAATGCTACTGTTAACAAAAGTAATTAAAAGTTCAAACCAATATACACAGTATACATAAAGATTGATATTAAACGGAGTTCTCAAATTACAGTCGTATAACCAAGTTTAGTATTAAATTTTGTCAATCCTGAAGGCCTAAAAGGTACGCCAGACATAATGGATTTGATGAGTTAAAAACGCTAACGGAAACTTCACTTCTCACGTTTACAATTTTACCTATCTGGTTATCCCACTGACTATAGGCACTTGGCTATCAGTAAGACCAATACCTTTTGAAAACAAGGCAAAAGCTAGAAGTGATAGCTTGTGAGAACATAAATGCTAAGTACTTAGCTTTTCCATAGTTTCATTCAAAATTTCAAATTCAATTTCCGCTTTTCAGTTTGAACATTCATCAGATGTCAAACATTAAACAAATTCTCCATATGGACCAAACTCAGCCTCAGTCCTTGTTTAAACCTCTCCAAATGGAGTAAACCAAGACTAAAATACAATATAAAACCAGCACCCCAGATTCCAGTAGTTTAAGAGGCTCAGGTTGGAACCCCAAAAATTTCCACTCTAACGCATTGCTCTTAAGCAATTACTAAAGAGTAATGCTAGAATCACAAACAAACAGCTCACAAAATTCACAAACTTGCCTTTTTAACATTTTCCTAGAAATAAGATGCACCCAAATAATAAAAGATATTTTAATTTAAAATCTGCAAAAGGAAAGTTTGTGAACTATTTGTTTGTGACTCTAGCATTTTCCATTACTAAAAGAATAAATATAAAATCATGCTCTTGAGCTCATCACTTCTCACATTTGATAAATCTAGATATCATAATAAGGTTTGCTTTTCCAATTCACCCACCAAAACTGACTGAACAAAGCGTAACAAGTAGCTCTCCAGTAAAGAAGCATCCATGCTGATTGCCAAAGTATCTGTTAATCTTTTGACATTTTTCATTAAAAATGTATGGTTGGAGCTGAACTAAAAATATACTTAGAAGAAAGGGGGCTACAAAAATAATGGTTGCTACAACAATAATGATATCTATTTTGCTATACCAAAAAGTAAAATTGAAGCTTTTTAAAATTTATCCCCCATCCAAGGAATGGAGGAGCAAAAACAGCTATTGCTTTCACCCTACATATTGAACTAAAAATGATCACTTTTTCACACCAACAACACAGCATCTCTACATAAAACTTCCTTTTTCCTAAGAATACCAAATATGGCAAAACAAAATACAAATTTGTTTTCCAGTATAGGTAATGTTAAAATTTAAAATTTAAACAAAAGATAACAAAAACACGTATTACAATAATATACAGCAGAATCAGCCTGCTATAAAAAAACATAAATAAAAAGTTAGTAAAGTCACAAAATTGGGAAAATATAATACTTGTCTGATACTTGAAATTAAGATCTGTAGTTTGAAAATACAGGGCTTATAGAAGATCTGCGGAAAAGTGTTTCAGATTCGAAATTTTGACCATCTGTGAATTCACTAATGATAAGAATTTCTAACAATTGCGCATCATATCTCGATAATTGAAGCTAACACCTAATTCCTGTTCGCGAATTATTCAACGAGCTTGGAAAGTCGAAGCAGCGAAAGACTGGTGAAATGGAGCTTAAGAAGAAGAAGAAGAAGAAGAAGAAATTACCTGTTGATATGGAAGAACGATGCATTGTCGGATATAGGATCCCACCAGAGCTGAAGGAAAAAGCTCGCGGAAATCTTTTGTAGCTCTAGTCGTCGTTCGTAGAAGGAATTGGAAGTTGGGCTCGTGTCCAGATGTTGCAATTGTGAAAGTTTAGCCCCCGATGTTAATCCGCCCAATATTGCTCCTTATTAATTATAGGATAATTTTGTCCACCATCTCCTCTTTTTCTTGGAATTTTTTTTACCAAAAATTGAAGTCAATGCATCCTCAAGAAAGATTACACTTAAAATATTTGATGATTCAAAATGTTATTCCCTATTTAATCTTTCTATCTATTTAATCCTTTTATCTTATACTTTTTTATTAGAGTATATCTTTGTATCATATATTTTTATCACACTCCCTTCATACCATAAAGTTTTCAAAAAAATTGTGTCCCTTAAAGTCATTCTTTTTTTATTAAAAAATCACTTTTATCCCTTACTTTTTCATACCATATATCTATCACATCATATATTTTTTCTAATAATCTATACATTGCATCTTACTTTTACCTATCACATCAATGGTATTTTTGGAAAGTAAACACAAAATTATCCCTCCTTATTTTATCACTTTAGTCAAACCATCTCTATCTTTATGGGACGGAGGGAGTATATCTTTATTTATTTAATCTTTTGCGATTTTCAATTACAATCCTTTAATCATTAATGCATGTGTGTTTGTGTCGGCTCGGTCCTTTTGACAACAGAAATTATTGTCATAATATGACAATAGTACCTACAATATTTTGTTCAAAAAATTAATTATTCCTAACACCTTCTAAACTCATTTGCCCCCGATCCCAACAATTCTTTACAACGGGGAGGGGGAGAGGGGTGTTGGGGAAAGGACAGGGGGTTTAGAAGGGTAAAAATCATTAATTTTTCAAACGGGACAACGTAGATGTTGTTGTTATATTGTGACAATTAAAATTATGATCAAAAGAACCGAGTTGCATATAAATATATATTATAAAAATATGGTATTTCAAGACTATATTTCAAAATAAAGTTATAGTATGGATATTTAATTTACATCACAATAAAATAGAGTATTTTTTTAAATTTACGATCAAAATTTAAATTTATTGACTACAAAAGTTAGATAATAAAGTATTTATTCATTCATTTTAGATAAATTTTATCATGGACCTAAAGTCGACAAAGTTTACCTGGACCTTCTGACTTTGCTCATGTTATTTTTATTTTTTAAAATAAGAATTAAAAAAAATATCTCAATAACAAGTAAATTTATTTGATTTATATGAAAGTCCACGCAAACATTAAATCCATGAAAGTTTTGCTTTCACTTTCATAATACTCCGTATCTCATAACATGTCTTATATATCCAATTGCGGAGTATAACTCTAATTTATCAATGAACACCAAGTGTCGTCTTAACATTTCTATATATATCTAATGGACAATGTTTGGCGTATAACATTTGATGTACATTATTTTGCATTTCACATTTTTGCACCTGCATTATGATCGTTCACACACTACCACAAAATGTCAATGTAAATTGTTGTAATCGTACAGACCTTTTGTGCAAATGTGAGTCATTGAAGTACTAATACAACATTGTGGTGTACAAAATGATGTATAAATGTTTTGTATACCTAGCATTATCGATAACCAACTATATTTTGTATTTAACAATGATGAATGATGAGTTATTTTGTTGTGTTTTTCCAACCACAAAAGGTAAGTGTTCGTTTTGAACATTAATTAGGAGGACGAGTGATATAATAACAAACTATAAATACATCAAATAGATTTATACTATATTTCAAATAACATGATGCATCATAACAACAAAGTTTTACGCATTTGTTTAATTAATGGTATGTTTTTTGGAAGGAAATAAAGGGGAAGTGTGTCGGGGAAGGAAGTTGGAAGAAAATTGATGAATATTTGTTGTTTGGGGTAAATTTCACAAATGGTACCTGAACTTTAGCTGGAATTTCGAAGTGGTACCTGAACTTCAAATCCTTTCACAAAAATCCCTGAACTTACACAATCCTTTCACTAATGAGCCATTAGCCCGTTTCTAGGTTAACTTCCGGTCNGGATATGAAGTTTGATGTTGGAGATGGTGGTGAAGGCAAGATGAGGAGAATTATTTGGAGAAGAGGTTTCGTTGTTGTTGGTGACTTTGCCAGATGAGGCGGAGTCGGCCATGGTTGCCGGGGGAAGAAGAATCCGACGAGGGAGGGGGGGTTGGGGGCTTGGCCGAAACTCAAGAAGGAGAAGGGGAAGGGAAGCCGTGAAAGATTAGGGCTCCGATACCATGAAGAATGAATATTTAACATGCTCCCGACGGCGATGGAAGGAGTATCAACTTCGGTATGTCCCAAAATTAAAGACACAATTTAGTTTATAGTAATATTTTATTTTAGTAAATACGTACTCCCTCCGTTCCATTAAATCCTTCCACTTTTGACTTTTGGCAAAAATAAGGAAAGTGTAATTTTGGAGGGGAAAAATTTTGTGGAACGGAGGGAGTAGTAATCAGTTAAAACTTATAAATAAACAAAAGAAGAGCAGAAGAGTGACTCACCAAGAAAAGAGCAGTCTGTTTCACGAATGGCGTCGAGATCTGATGACATAATACTAATTATTATTTGATAAATAATATGATAATGGTTTTATCAGTGAAGGGATACTGATGAGTAGTTTTTTGTTGTATGTTTGGAGCGGGGGAGAAGTGTGCCTATTTATATAGAGTAATTTACCTAAATAGGACTAAAACATAATGACTTTCCCAAAATAGGACCATATGTTTTTATTTCCTAATGTAGGACCTTTGGTCATTATTAATTAGTCATTATTCAAGTAAATGTCCATCATTGCTGGGCATTATTCCTTCCACGAAGACATTATTAAATCCTATTTAGGGAATAAAAAAGTTTAAGTCCTAGATTAGGAAACTCATTATGTTTTAGTCCTATATAGTCTATCTGAAAAAAATATAAAATGGTCGCATTATTTCCACCAAACTTTCTATATATATAGTAGGCATTGACTGCTCTTCATTGCAAATAAATTCCTATCCTAATATGGAGTCACGGAAATGATCCCCGGTTCGTGATTTCATCATTTCATGTTAATTGTTTGTTCAATAACATTTAATCCTTTTCTCCCGCAAAACGTTACTCATTTTGATGTATTTTTGGTACACGCTTTGATCATATATTAAATATAATCTTAATAAAAAGGTGTTATAAAAATTGATATATCAAAATTAGATTATAAGATGAATCTAATTATATTAAATTTATATTATAAATTAATATAATTTTCTCACAATCTGTAGTCAAAGCGTGTAACTGTTTGACCAAATACTGAGTACTATTTAAAATGGGTGTGAGACGGAGGGAGTAGTAAATATTGGAAATTTACCCATATAATACTAAAACATAGTGCGTTTTCTAATTTCGTATCTCATACGGAGTATGTTTTAATTTTCCAATATAATATCTTTGTTCAATGTACCACCAGTGAACATTGTTCAAAATAAATGTCTACCATCACTGGACATTGTTTCCGTCACTAGACATTGTTCAAGTACTATTTAGAAAATAAAAAATTTAGACGCTACATTTGAAAAAAGATACGGAGTATATGTTTAAATAATATTTAGTGCAAATTTACTAAAATATATCACTAAAATATACGGAGTAAACTTCAAGTTTGTAATAGCCACACCCACCAAAATATTAAACTCACCCTCACACTAATATCACTCTAGCACTTTCTAAAATACTTTTATTCTGTACTCCACATGACTTCATAGAATTCTAAAATTTTTAATATTTTGATAAAATTATATTTTGAATTAAAATATGGAGTATTTTTTTAGCAAACATATGATATGCATGTTATACACATTTTTAACAAGTTTACTATGTGTGGTTTTAGCGGAAATCAAAGAGATTTGTTTGAGTAACGAGACTCGCAATTTAATTTTTCTGGATTGAAGATTAAGAACAAGATAAATCAATTTGAGTATTAAATAATAAAAAAATGGAAGGTTGGCCCTAGCCCACAACCATGGCGAACACGTTCGATCACTATAGCATTTAATAAGTTCATAAATGTCTCTTTGTAATTTGTATTTATATGAAGTCATTATATATAAAGGGATTCCATTAATAAAGACCACCACTTAAACACTTATTTAATGACAAAAAATTCAAATGACAATAACATATATCCTCAGCCCAAACAAATTGGTGCCCACAAATACTTTTAACAACAACAATAAATCTAGCTTTGTTGCATACATTCTGCAACTTATTTAATTATGAATTGAATTTCAATGTATATATTAACCGACAGTCGGGACGCGAACCACGATTCCCGAGTCATCGACCCAAATGCGGACGCGATGAGTCACAAACGCTTCTGCCACATTGGTCCCTTCCTTAACCACCTCCCATTGTCTCACTTTGCGATTCTCCTTCTTTATTGTTGCAATTGCCGTCTCCGAGTCCTTTCCCAACAGCTCCGGCCACATGTGCTTTCCTACACACACACACACACAAAATCATCTCACATAAATGTTCTTGTGTCCTTAATAATAATGTACAAAGTTCACATGCATTTGTTTTCTGTACATCCAGATGTATGGTACGTTTCACAGATCTAGTGAATAATACTCACTTACAACTTGCGAGCTAGTAACATAATACTCACGTTGCATATTTCTTTATGAGATGAGTATTGTGCTGCTCGTAAATGTATGAAACGAGGATTATATTGCTCATCTTTAATTTGCAGATGTATGAAATGGTGAATATACTCCATCTATCCCAGAAAGAGAGGGATACTTAACTTAAGTGGCAAAATAAGCTAGAGAGAAGTAATTTTGTGTTAATTTTTCAAAAATACCTTTGGATGATGGGTAAAAGTAGAATGTGATGTGTAGATTATTAGAAAAAAGATATGGTGTGATAGATAGGGTATGAAAATGTAAGGGGTAAAAGTGATTTTTTTAATATAAATGAGAAGGAGATTGTGGGACACCATTTTTTTAAAACGTGAAAGACTTTTTGGGATGGAAGGAGTATCAACTTCGGTACGTCCCAAAATTAAAGACACAATTTAATTTATAATATTTTATTTTAGTAAATAATCAGTTAAAACTTATAAATAAACAAAAGAAGAGCAGAAGAGTGACTCACCAAGAACAGAGCAGTCTGTTTCACGAATGGCGTCGAGATCTGATGCCATAATACTAATTATTATTTGATAAATAATATGATAATGGTTTTGTCAGTGAAGGGGTACTGATGAGTAGTTTTTTGTTGTATGTTTGGAGCGGGGGAGACGTGTGCCTATTTATACTATCTGAAAAAATATAAAATGGTCGGATTATTTCCACCAAACTTTCTATATATAGTAGGTATTGAATTCTCTTCATTGCAAATAAATTCCTTTCCTAATATATGGAGTCACGGTCTCACGGAAATGATCCCGGTTCATGATTTCATCATTTCATGTTAATTGTTTGTTCAATAACATTTACTCCTTTCGTCCAACAAAACGGTACCTATTTTGATGTATTTTTAGTTAAACAGTGACACACTTTGATCATAAATTAAATATAATCTAAATAAAAAGATGTTATAAAAATTTGATATATCAAAATTAGATCCTAAGATGAATCCAATTATATTAAATTTATATTATAATTCAATATAATTTTCTCACAATCTGTAGTCAAAGTGTGTAATTGTTTGACCAAATACTATTCAAAATGGGTGTGGGACGGAGGGAGTAGTAAATATTGGGAAATTTACCTATATAATTCTCCACGTAAAACATAGTGTGTTTTCTAATTTAGTATCTCAAGTGTTTTAATTTTCCAATGTAATATCTTTGCTCAATATTCACTGGACATTGTTCAAGTAATGTCTACCACCAGTGAACATTATTCAAAATAAATGTCTACCATCACTGGACATTGTTTCTATCACTAGACATTGTTCAAGCACTATTTAGAAAATAAAAATTTAGATGCTACATTGGGAAAAGATATATGTTAAAATAATATTTAGTGCAAATTTACTAAAATATATCACTAAAATATACGTAGTAAATTTCAAGTTTGTAATAGCCACACACACCAAAATACTAAACTCACCCTCACACTAATGTCACTCCAGCACTTTCTAAAATACTGTTGTTCTGTACTCCACATGACTTCATAGAATTCTAAAATTTTTAATTTTTTGATAAAATTATATTTTGAATTAAAATATGGAGTATTTTTTAGCAAACATATGATATGCATGTTATACACATTTTTAACAAGTTTACTATGTGTGGTTTTAGCGGAAATCAAAGAGATTTGTTTGAGTAACGAGACTCGCAATTTAATTTTTCTGGATTGAAGATTAAGAACAAGATATGGTATCTACTTTCTAAAAAGTAGATATGGTATCTACTTTTTAAATAAAATTCGTAATTTTTATAATGCTATACATTTATTAAGATCTATATATTTTGTTTTTGGAAAAGTAATAAAGGAGAAAAATCATGAGTAGCTTTAAAGTTTTATATAAAGCGCTGTTTTTCAAATAATAAAACTTATATAACCTTAGCTTAGCTTCTTTTTAAAATAATTATGTAGAATAAAAATTTAAAATAATGAAATGCATATTGGTATAATACATAAAAAATAGAAAATGTTATACAAAATTAATGGACATTGAATGTAATAATATTAATAATAAAATTTATCTTAGTTAATAAAAAATAAAATAAGAGATCAGATGATAAATTTTTAAAAATAAAATCATAATTTATATTTTTTAGATTAATAAAGTTTATACAGAGTATAACTTTGTTTATTAATAAAATAAATTTGTATCACGGGATGTATTTAGTCAATACAGAGTATCAATTTTAATGACGTACCCTGACAAGGTATTGTCACGTTTTTTTAAGTGGGTGAAACTACTTTATAAGGTCAAACCGTATTCAAGTGGTTGAGTCTAAAAATTATCATGCCACAATGTGGGTAGGAAAATCCAACGATGACCCGTGGGTCTATAATTCACTTCCGATGACTGGACCCGAGGTTATGGAGTGATATCTAAAAGTAAAATTACGAATCAATTAGTGCGGTGTTCTAACATAGTCATGGATTATTCTCTAATCTAATTAAGATTAACCTAGAAAAAGTCTAGAGTTTTTAAAATGTCTCCAAGTAACAATTTAAGAGTATGGATGTTTCCTAAATGAGTTAAAGTGTGTGAAAAGTATTAAAATTGAATAACTTATATATTCAGCATGTAGTTTCCATTTAAGTGCACGAAAGTACTAGTAAAGGAAACAATCGCATAGGGGAAAACATACACATGGAGGTCGTGCTGAGAAAAAAATTCTACTAAAATACTGTATTTAATAAGTAAATTTTTAAACGGTTGAATTTTTTAATTATCGAAATAGAAATATATTTCTAAAGAATGTTTTACTAAGTAAATCCAGTTTTGCTAGCGATCCGGTCATGTTGACTCGGGTCACCTCCCTAAGGTGGGGTGTTTTATGCATAATGTATGGGGAACAAAAATAAGAGTAAAAACATAGAAAAGAACTAGAAGAGACCTTTATCTTTTATCTCTAAATAGTAATTATAATGCCAATAACATCAACATATAATACAAAAAAGAAAACTTTCTGAATAAGATTAAAAAACTATGAAAACACGAAAATAGGAGTTTAAGATTTTGTAAAGATTAATACGGAGTACAAGAGTTCATATTGCCATTGTTACACTGGCACGCTCATCACATTGTTATACTGCAACTGCCACACTTCCATCCGTCGCTGCCAAAGTTTTGTTGCCCATTACCGATTGTAGACTGGTCACATTACCATATTACATTGCCATCACTTTTTCATCACATTGCCAATGCGTACAATAACATTACATTGTCATTATACTCTTATTTGGTCTTTAAAAACTTAGCGCTCATATTTTAGTACTTTTCATAGTTTTTTACTCCTGTTTTAGTACTTTTCATATCAATTTTTATTTAATAGACTTTTGATGTAATTTTTATATATAAATTATTTTTAAATTACATATACTTTTAAATAAATTGAATTGAACTTCAATCAAATTCTTGAAAATAACCTCAATCTAAAGAAAGTTATAAAAGAGAAAGACTAGATTTCTTTATTTGTGAAGGTGGGGCCAAAACAGCCACCAGTCATCTCCCGCCAAGTTTATGCGTGAGACTGTGAGAGAGGCCATTGCCCATTTGTACGCGAAGAGGCAAACTGATTCTTCTTCGAAAATTCCAATTCCGACCGTCCGCCCATCATCCCCCGGCTAAAAAACACACCAAAAAAAAACTCTCCACCGCCGTCTCCGCCGTCGTTGATTCACGTGCTCACACACTGATATACCTAGAGCGAGAGAGAAATTGATTCGGGCGATCAATCCGGGGTTTAATTAGGCACATAACATATATATTCGGAAGGAAATGGAAGAGGAAGGGTCAACGGCGGCGGCGGAGGAGGAGGAGACGGTGGATAATGAAGAGGAGGCAGAGGAAGAATTGGAGGAGCAGCTGGGGTCCAGCTTGACTCTCAAACGAGTCGCCGCCGCGAAGAAATTCATTGAGAGCCACTACAAGGCTCATATGAAACATATCCAGGAACGTAAACAAAGGTCTCTGGCTTACCTTTTAGCCTTTTTATGCATAATTTCTTGTTTATTATTCCGGACAAAAATGCTTCTACATTGTATTTTCGTTTCCTCATTGCATTGTTAGGAAAAGATTTCTTAAACAATAGCCATTGAAGTCAAAATTAGGCAGATAATGAATGTTAAATTACAAATTTGCTGAATTCAGCATCCAAAAATAACAAATTTTCATATTGTATTTGCTTAAATATTTTAAGTATAACTCTTGTTTTTGTATCTTTTACTTGAGTAATATGAATTGTTTTATTTTCTTTAGTCGTTACCATATGTTGGAACACATGTACCCCAATCCTGAACTCGCATTAGTATGATATTGTCCGCTTTGTGTCAAACCCGCACGAATTAATTTTTAGGCTCCACCCAAAAGGCCTCATACTAATGGGGTTAGGGTAACCTATAAATATTGGTTCTCTTTCTCTTTTCAATACGGATTGGGAGGGGTTTGATACCCAGCAAAAAGTTTTAAACGTTTAAGTCTGATTCAAATGCTTAAAGTGTTATTCTATGATATAGGCATCTAGAGTAAGGTACTCACCTGATTCTTATTTCAATCCAATAACCTACACAGGGTTCAACCAGATTTAGATGCATAACAGACCGGATTCGATCACGTTTTATTTCACTAGAAAGTTGGACAAGATCATAAGCATTCAGATACCAGACCGGGAACAGTTGGATTATTACTAGACCAGAAAGATACACACACTTAAATAACACTGGAAAGATAGACTTGAATAGCACAAAACACGCCTGGACTATAAGTAAGAATGCCATTAATCATAGTGATTTACTGCTGATGCAATTGTACATTATATACGTTTCAACCTTCCAGGGTGGTGACAGAATATATTTATTTATAAAATGTTATTTAGGCCTACTAGGCTTTATGGGAATATGTTTTGATCAGAGAAGATACACTATACTCATAAAATGGTTGTCACTGATATGTGAGAATGTTGATATGGATGGGTGGAAATGCATTAAGGACCATATTAGATGTTCCCTGGTGCAAAAAAAACATGGCACAAAAGGTTAATTTTTAAGGATATAAAGAAATATGTCAATGTGGATATACCACTTGCATAGGATTGAGAAAATGCACATGTTCATGATGTTGGGTATCTCCTCAATTACCAAATATTAATTATGTTAGAGTTTATTTTATTTTAGGGGTTAGAAAATAAAATAAATAAATAACACGGAGTATATAAAAAGGAATTGCATGGCAGTAAGGGATAAAAGAGAAGTTGGCAGAAGATTAGATGAAAAAAGGCAATTTGCTGCCAGAGCAAGTTGCACAAGGTATGGGGCTAAAGAGTGAGCTAATTTGCTATAAAAAGGAATAAAGGGCATACTCTCCTTTGACATTTCGAGGCTTCAACCGGTGAGGTAGTCATGCGTAGGAATTCTGAGCAGAGAGAGAAGGTAGATTAATTAAGCTTTATGGAGAAAGAATATCAATTGTTGCATTAATATTGAGTTCATATTATAGTGGAATGTTTAGTCCGGAAGGATCATGTTCTTTTTCCCTAGTTGAGTCCATGTATAAGTATTGTGTTTTCATCTTTTATTTTTTCTGCACATTTAGTTTCCTCATATATTTTGAGTCTGTTGTTTTTTGGTAATTTTCCCATTACATGATTTCATCCTCCTTTTCTACATGGCAGCATAGCATAGACTTATGTAGTAACATGCAAATTATTTGCCTTGATCCTTCAATCCCTAAAAAACTTTCGGAGGTCTTTTCTTCAGTTGTATATTTTTTTGGCATTATTTCATATGATAGCAATATCTTCAACATAACCAACAAGATAAACTGTAGGCGCTTGCTGTTAGAGAAGAAGTTGGCAAGCTTATGTGTGTCGGAAGAGGAGCAAATGGATCTTCTCAAAGACTTGGAGCTTAAAGAGACGGAATATATGCGGCTCAAAAGACACAAGATTTCAGTGGATGATTTTGAGCTATTATCTATTATAGGGAGAGGGGCATTTGGAGAGGTTTAAGATTTTTACCTTTTTTATTAACTTTATTTACCTTTAGTTACTGTGGAAAGTTTTCTAGTTTAAGTTAGCGTCCATGACGTAAAATATCTTTGTTATATCTGATTCAAAGCAGACATGTTTGAGGCTTTCTACATTTCTCAGATATGATATGCTAATCATCCTTAGAAATCTACATTTGAAGTTTGTTTCTTCAAAGACCCTCACCCTTCATCCCTCCCTCAATACGCAGGCATTTTTTTGTGGATTGGAGAATAGTTAATATCTCTATGTATTCCCCTTTAAAAAATCTGGAAGTGTACTTTACCTAGATTAACAAATTGCAAAGTGCAACAATTTCTGCAGGTTAGATTGTGCCGAGAGATAAAATCAGGCAATATCTATGCAATGAAAAAGTTGAAGAAGTCTGAAATGCTTAGCAGAGGACAGGTGCGGTCCAAATTTTAGTTTCTTCTTAATTTGCAATGGAAATACAGTGCACTTGTCCATGAATTGGATGTTAATATTTTATCCCATCTTTATAAAAATTCCCTTGACTGCATGGGCATGTGGTGTAATATAGGCATTTGTTTTTTACACGTAGGTTGAACATGTTCGAGCAGAAAGGAACTTGCTTGCAGAAGTTGCCAGCCACTTCATTGTAAAACTATATTTTTCTTTTCAAGATTCTGAATACCTGTATCTTGTAATGGAGTATCTGCCTGGTGGTGATATAATGACATTGCTGATGAGGGAGGACACATTAACTGAAACCATTGCTAGATTTTACATTGCTGAAAGTGTTTTGGCCATAGAGTCTATCCACAAACATAGTTATATCCACAGGTGGAGTATGCTAAAGTACATCTGTTCTGTCTTAGAGATATATAGTTTGATCTTAATTGAGTACATCAAACTAGGGTTCTGCTGCAATACCACTTCTTGATCAGCCTCTCTGGAATTACTTGACATTATTCGGTATCTTTCAGCACTGAAAATGAAATAAGTATAATATATATGAACAAATTGGAGTGGAATAAAATTAAATATGTATACACCTAATTTCATGAAGCCCTTCTTTTTAAGTAGAATTGGTGTGCTTTGAAAATTTTGTAATTTTTTTAGTACTGTGATATATGTAATCAGCTCCTATATGTTTGATCAACTCGAGTGTGTGTATATATGTATGTTTGCAATAGCTTTAATAAAACCAAGGATTAAAATGCCAAATTCTTCTTTGGCAAGGATACTAATTGCACTTTAATGAATACTAAGATGTATATTTGAGTAATGTTCACACGGTGAAGTCACTTCATAAACTAATTTTTGCAGGGATATTAAGCCTGACAATCTTATTTTGGACAAAAATGGCCACATGAAACTATCTGATTTTGGCCTTTGCAAACCTCTTGACTGTTCCAACCTATCTCCAATAAATGAAAATGAACTTATGGGTGAAGAGAATGTGAAGGGGTCCCTTAATTCCAATGGAAGCTATTGGAATAGCTCTCATGAACAAATGCAGCATTGGAAAGCGAATAAAAGGAAATTGGTATGTAGTTTATTGTGCCCTTAGAAAAATTCCATTGTACTCATAGCTTCAGAATTACCTAACATTGTCAAAATTGCACATGCAGTCGGAAAATATGGAGTACATAATTAATAAGTTTCTAGTTAGCACTCAAATAGTTGCACCTTTGCAGTTTGCACAGTTAAAATCAGTTTTAAGGTTTATAAGATGAATTAGTCTAATCATTACCGGATTACATTTGCTACGGAAGAGTGTGGAAAATCATGCCACTTTGAATGTCAGAACAACTGCTTTATTCATGTATATACAGCATCAGTCTCAACACAAACCATTTAATGTAAGAATTTGTCTACAATTGCGTGTTGAAAGTGAACTATCAACATTGATTGTGCAGGCATTTTCAACCGTGGGCACACCAGATTATATTGCTCCAGAAGTTTTACTAAAAAGAGGCTATGGGGTGGAATGTGATTGGTTAGTTTTTGTTGGTTTACAAGCGATAATTGCAACTTTAAAGATATTTGAGCAATAAAATACCTCTCTTTGTCAACCATGTATATCCTCTTGTTCTCTATTGTAAAATTTCTTAATCTCCCAAAAGTTTCACATTAAGGATTGTTTCGTTCCTTCTTTCCCTTTCATTAATATATACTCAGTCCCCCAAAATTATGTTCCTAGTTATGTAATTCAGTCTCAAACTTTATGCTCTTCCTTTCTCTATTTTAATTACTCACATATAAATTTTATTTTTCAATTTTACATTAATAATCAAATAAAAAGAATAGAAAATAATTTCAGTCAAACATCATAAACTCAAACTAGAACATCATTATGCAAAAGAGGGAGTATGTATGTATATATATATATATTGAAACATATTATTTTACAAATAGAGCCAAATTGATGCAGCAATCTTCACCATAGATTTGCGACTACAAATATCTAAAAATTAACTAAAAGTTTATCTATGACATTGCTGCATTTTTCTTTTAACATTAAGATTTTTGAAGTTGCATCTCTCTTTCTCTCTCTCACTCTTTCTCTCTCTCTCTCTCTCTCTCTCTCTCTCTCTCTCTCTCTCTCTCTCTCTCTCTTTAATCATCAAAAGCCAACACTTCATATACAACTATGCTTTGTAGACTATTGTTGAAATTGTCAACTTCATATGGATTTGATTTGATGCAGGTGGTCTCTCGGTGCTATTATGTATGAGATGCTAATAGGTTATCCCCCATTCTACTCCGATGATCCAATTACTACTTGCAAAAAGGTAGACAGAATGTAAGAATCTTCTATGTAGCATAGCCGCATAGGTCACTTATATGCAACGTGGAATAATTTGCACGTTCATGCTTTGATGGAGTAATTAACTTATGATTTTCAAAACAAATGTATAGATTCGTAGGGATTTGATGAACTCTAACCTTTGTCCCGTTGTTCAATAATGAGTACCTTTATAATACATCTGAATTTACCATGAGAATTATATATCCAAAGCATGAGCATTCTCTAAAAATAAAATAAGCATCCGTCATATTCATATAAGCACACTCTAGAATAAGTATGAACAAAATAAAAATCTATATAAGTGCAAGATGCAAATTAAAATGAAAATGAAATTGTCAAAAAATCACCAAAGTGCTACTAGATGCACATGTATGTGGATGTACGGTATAATTTGCCCTCATTGCTGAGTATTAGTAACAACTACTCTATCGCTTTGTTGGATTTTTGATGGTTAATTGGTTGTAGCATTGTATGGTGTCATTAATTATTTGTTAATGTCGAGGACTCTTCGTACTGTGCTCAAATCCTTCATGCGCAAGACCTCTGAGATCTATTCTTTTGTTTTGCTTCGTTTTGGTCATATAAACAGTTAAATAAGTTAATATGTGCTATCATTTTTTTTGCTCCTTGAATTGTTTTAAACTTCCAGATTGTGCGTTGGAGTAATCATTTGAAATTTCCGGAGGAAGCAAGGCTGAGTCCTGAAGCTAAGGACTTAATCTGCAGGTTGCTTTGTGATGCTGAATATCGGTTAGGTTCTCAGGGAGCAGAGCAAATTAAGGTACTCTGTATCTTTTTGTTCTTATAGAGCCTGATAATGTACGGTATACCCACTCGCTGCACCGTTTTTTAATAGACTTTTGTTCTTGAATATATTAGGCTCACCCCTGGTTCAAAGGTGTTGAGTGGGACAAACTTTATGAAATGGATGCAGCATTTAAGCCAGAGGTCAACGGTGAACTTGATACTCAAAATTTTATTAAATTTGATGAGGTATTTATCAAAGACTTTTCCTTAACTGATCTTTTGGTTTATGAAGAATATTGGAATAACTTTGAACTTTATTAACATTTCTTATGTTTGCGTTCGAACTGCTACAACAATCTCTAATCCATTGTTATATAATGCCATTATATCTTTATAGGTGGACCCCACACCTGCTAAAACTAGCTCTGGAAACATGAGAAAGGTTAGTTTTATAATTTTTTGGGTCCGGGGTTGAAAATTAGTACATGGAGCAACTTACAATTGTTTCCTCTTGATATTATTCGCAAGTTTGCAGTTCCTCCTCAACTTTCCCACAATGCTGTCCTAACCAATTGTCTTCACTCTCTAATCAAATGTAACGACTTTGGCAGATGCTTTTAACCCCTGAAAGTTTAAGTTTTGTCGGCTATACATATAAGAATTTTGAGGCCATCAAAGGGCGGCGCGGCTTATCCAAGGGTATGTAATCTGCATTTAGTCAAAATGTTTCTGTTTTCTTGATTGAATGAAAGGCTAAATTACTTCACTCATCATCTTTATCAATGTTGGTCTACCATGTTATATGATGAGCATAAGACGTGTTTGATAAGTGTAAAATTTGGTTGGAGCAACTGAATAGGTAAGTGCAAAATTGAGTTCAGTGACTTAATTGACTGAAGTTGTGGCGAAATTGCTGAATGACCCGAATCATCTATAAAGAAAACTCAATTAAAGAAAATAATGATCACATTTGAAAATAAGGGCAAAAGTTCCGCTTCCTTTCATTTCATTCCAACCAAAAAGAGTAACTAATTGTGCTATGTTTCTCTATATTGTCAACCAAACAGGCACTTTATACGTGTGCGCTAGTTTTTTTGTATGAATGCATGTTTAGTCATTACTTTCATATGTGAATAACATTTTAGTGTCGGATAGGGGTCAATTAACGGGTTCATAAGATGTCTGGGTCAAATCACACAAAAATATCGAATCAAATCGATTAGCTAGTCCAACCCTCACCATTCTTTTAAATTTCCGTTGTCAGATACTCTAACACAGACTTTTGACTGTTTTCCCTTCTTGCAGAAAGCAGGAGCATTTCATCCGACCGCTTGTCCACTGATTCAACCAGCAGTTAGTTTCTCACTCACAAAACATGCCTTTCATGCTATACCCTCCTTCCATTTCCTCTAGAAAAAAAAAACAATTTGTTGAAACCATATGTGTCTTATTGCTTGTTTGGCAACATGAATATCTTACAGGTGAGCCTGCAGTTATATTCTCCTCCAAGACTGATGGTGCTGAATCACTCACCCGCACCTCATCCGTGGGTACTCTCTTACAGTGACAGAAAATTCGGCAACATAAACTGATGGCCGGTCATGTTGGAGAGCCCGGCAACATGTACAGTGAATCAACCAGTGGTTACCTGTAAGTATTTGTTTTGTGTACTCATTTTCCCCCACTTTTCTCTCTTTTGCAACTCAACTAGCCCAGGTTGGCTGTGAGCATGGTTTCACTTGTGGCAGTCTTTAGGCTCTCATTGTTGTTGTGGTTTAATTTAATAATTTTTGTATGCTCAGCTGTATGAAACTGAGCGACCTATGAAATAAAGAAGTACCTATAACTTATTTTTTCCTAGTGCTTTTTGTGTAATCTTCGACTCTATATGTGTAATTAATAGTTAATACTACTCTGAAACAACACACCAAGTTTGACACCGGTGTGTCTTATAGACATTAACGCGCACGCAGATACAATCATTGTTAGTGCGTGTCCCTGAAAAACGTGTTGTCTTGTGTGATGTTACTATAGGTTGACTCGACATATTTATAATATTTGTGGATTTCAATATTTAAAAAAATGGACTAACTTCACTAAGAGAGTGTTTTATTACTACAAGAGTAATGATTGAAAAAGAAGAAGAGCCAATTGTGTATTTTTTTATCCATAATGAGTTGGGAATAATCATTTTTAGTATAAATTGAGATTAAAGTTGCATGTGCGACTGCTAGACCATGGACCTGGGACATGTTACACTAAATCAAAAAAAAATTGTTATTGCTGGGTCACTGTGATTGTATGCGTGTGTTTCTCTATATAAGGGGTCTAATTAAATTTGGGTTTGGACACTTTGGGTAATGTGATGGGGTCACAACGATATTGTATTATGAGACATATAAAATGATTTTAAGTGTATTACTCCATCTGTCCTAATTTATAGTGCCTGTTTTGGTTTACGATGTTTGATTGAAATTATTTTCAAATTATTTTATATGACAAATGGTATAAAATTAAAAAATGAAAATTACATATCAAAATATTACATCAAAAGATCTACAAAACTAGTAGTGACAATAGTATTTTATTTTATCAAATTGCTAACGAAAATAGAAAAAAAAAGTGAATAAAGTTTGACCATGTGAATAGTGAACATACATTATAAATTGGGATGGAGGGAGTACTTTTTTTTGTTTAAACCTGAGTTGATTTTTTGTGTGGTGGGTACTCTAATAATTACGGAGTAGATTATTAAGGCATGCTTAATTAATTTTGGAAGATTAAAATGATATGAATTCTGAAACTGAATGTAATCATACTCTATATGAGTTTTGAAAATTTAAAACGAAAGAGGTCACGTGTTCGACCCCTAGTGCGGGCAGTAATTCTTTGAGTTTTAATAGGTTGAAAATGTATAAAAATATATTACATGATAAAAGAATTATTAGTATTTTAAAAAACAGAAGTGATTTGAATTAATGGTTGTTAATTATAGGCATAGGGGGTCAGGTAATGTTGGGTGCTGGGCGGTGGTGGTGGTTAGTGATAGGTGGCCCACATCACGGAGTGATCAGTAATTGAGAAAGATATTAAAAATTTGAGTAATTCCATAAAAGGTCCCTAGTTATAAGTCGTTTTACATATTTAGTCCTCACATATCACATACTACTAATTTGGTCCTCAATTATTATATTTATTTCCATTAATGGTTCTTTGTTAACATTTTTGTTAAGAACATGGATAAAATTGTAAATTCACACTCCTTTCTCTCCTCAATTAAGCTTCCTCTCTCCACTCGCACTCTTTTCCCAAACCCGTCGCTGAGTTTGAAGTTTTAAACCCAAAACCAAAATCATCACTCTTCTCTCAATTGTTTGTCGAACTGGTGGAACCCAAATTCGAAACCAGTAACCTTCATGGATGAATTTTAATGTTTATTTTCTTTCCAATTTTTTGAGACTAATCGATAAATTCATTCATAAAGCTTATTAGTTTTGATTTTAGGTTCCACCAGGAAGACTAATAATTGAGAGATCAGTGGTTATTTCAGTTTTAGGTTTAGAGCTTCAAACTCAGCGACGAGTTTGGGAAAGAGTACGAGAGGAGGGAAGAAGCTTAATTGAGAAGAGAGAGAAGTATGAATATACAATTTTATCCATGTTCTTAACAAAAACGTTAACAAAGGATCATTCGTGAAAAATGATATGATAATTGCGGACTAAATTAGTAATATTTGATATGTAGGGACTAAATATGTAAAAAAACCTATAACCAGGAACCTTTTATAGAATTTACTCTAAAAATTTTGATTAAAATCTTACGAATTTTGAGAGATTAAAATATTTTGATTTAGGATATGTCAAACCTGAATCATTTTCATGGTTCACCCAACATCCAAAAAAAGTTCTAATATGGAACATATTAGACTATATATCTCCGGTTCTCACCAAGAGGCTTCTTACAAGATAACATTATGAATATATTTCTTTCGTCCCACATCGGATGTCTTTTTGTGTAAGATGAAAAAGACGAAAAAGATCGACCTTAAATGGGTAATTTTGTTACTCCGTAATATTTTTGTTTAATTATAACTCATTTATCTTACACATCATATATATTCTTATTGTTAGAAAATGTCTTGAATCTATTTTCTAGACCTATTGAGATTAGGACTAAGAATAAAATTAAAATTATCTTTCATATCCCCATCTTTATATATGTAGTATGATTATAACTATTCATATCCCTTTTCATATGTGTGTGTGTGTGTATTCTCTTCTATCTAGAGAGGTTACTAACAAGTCAGGTTCAGGTTCGGTTATCTTAATTCGAGTTACTTTGAATTGGATAAGTTTGAGTTTGGATTGAAAACTATGTTGGCCTTGAATGCCGAACTTCGTATAACCCTAATTCGCTCCACTCTTAGGGTGTAATCGAATATCAAACTACATGTTCATGACCCAATGTCATCGAATTTGGGTCAACCTAACGGGTCACGAGTTTCATTTATTTTTTTGAAATTATAAATAATTTTTATGATCTAGTGTCAATATTACAAATAAAAAATTAAATCTACATTATTTTTGAAAAATGTAAGATAATTATGTGATATCATTAAAATTTTGTATGAAAAATATGAATTTATACACAAAGAACGAGAAGTAAGCAAAGAAATATAATTATAATCTTATTTTTATAAGATTGTATTTCATATTAAAATATATGATCTTAAAAAATTCTTACATTAGCGTGTTGGTCAGGTCAGTTTGGATTTGATCGGGTTTGACCCATTTTTAGCGGGTCATTTCGAGTTCGGTCAGCAAACCTTGGTCTAAAACCCAGTATTTTCGAGTCGAGTATTAGATAAAAAACAAGTCACATCAATGTTTGCCAAGCCTAATTTTTACTGGTTTGTTTCGCGGGAAAGAAACAGAATGGAAATACAACTTTCCCCTCAATTCTCTCCAAAAGTGGATAGAAGTCTTTTTCTACTAAGAGCACTGGAAATACGTTTGAAGCCTCGAGACTTTAAACCGGGGCATCAAACTGTCTCTCTCTGCCACGTCAGCTTTAACTTACACCAAAAATTCACTGGAAATGGGTTTGAAGCCCCAGGGCTTCAAACTGGGGCTTCGAACCTTTATTTTTTACATTTTTAAATATACATCTTCTAAATTTAAATTATTAAATTTAAATTAATTTATTATTTAATTATATTGAAACACGAATAATAAAAAATACATTCATTAAATTTAAAAAAATTGAAATGAAAATAATTTAAATTTTAAAAAATTACATTCATTAAAATAAAAAACGACAATAATAAAAAAGATACATTAATAAAAAAACTAAGGTAAATTATAGTTCGCCTTGATCTCTCTTTGTCTTTGCTCGTAGATCATCCGTTTGAAACCTGACAATGTAGAAAGGTCGGTTTCCATGATTTTGATCTCGTCGTCTTGCTCCTTTCGCTTCAACTCCTTCTCTTTTAGCTTCAACCTCTCTTCTTCTCGAAGATTGAACACCCGAAGTTGTTCAACCATTGCCCGACCAATTTCGTCGCGAGAAGAAATGGAAGCAAAGCCGAACCCTCCCGAACCCGAGGCAATGGATTTTGCCTTCTTTCTTCCGATCGGCCGTGGAATGGGGTCCTCGTCATCGGAATCCGCAACGTTGAAGGGAGGGATTTGATCAGACGAACCGATAGTCTCGTCGACCTCAACCTCGGCGTCGACGGAGGATCTTTTCTTTGACGATCCGCTGTCGGGATTGTTGAGTTGTTGCCACTTCGGGGAACGGCTCAAAATCCTCCAAAGATCGATGGGAACATTGCCTTGGTGCCCGTTATCTTGATACCGGGTCGTGGCAAGCCGGAGAACATCGGCGTCGTTCGTCCCGCTCCTCCGGGACCGGGAGCATTCCTCGTAAACTCCGATAAACTTTCGGACTTTACGGTTGATGTGGCTCCATTTGGAAGTGAGTTGGTCCCGGGTACGGTAGGAGCCGTCCTTGTTCATCGCCGTGAAGAACTTCTCCTCGATACGATCCCACATCGCATCTTTCGTTTGCTCCGAACCTTTAAAAAAGTATAACACAATTTTTTTATGATACGATTAAATATAATTTTATATAAATAAAATCATAAATATATTTGAAAAAATATAATTTTTACCAATGATAGGATGCTCGGAGACGTCAACCCAAGCCGACGCCAATAAGCACTCCTCCTCCGGCGTCCGCTTTTGGATTGACCGTGCCGCCTCGGTCATCGTGCCTTTTGTTTTGTGGCTTTTCCGGCATGTACTTTTTTTCGAGCCAGTCGGTTCCGGTTGAGTCTCCGGAACCGAATCTCGCTCGACATACCCCGATTGTTGCGTCTCGAAGATTGGCGGTTGATCGCCCAACTCTTGGTAATACCACATCGCGGCATCGCTTGGCGCGGGATTGTCAGAAAAGAAGCCGGAGCCGGTAGGATTCATGTTGAAAAGAGGGGGGATTTTGAAATTGAAGAATGTGTGAAGAAGATTGAAGAAGAGTGAAGGTGTGAGAGAATGTGAGGGGGGGGGGGGGTTTGAAATTTATAACAAAATTTTTTTTGGTCTTCAACGGCTATTAGAGCCGTTAGGGGAGGAGGGGGAGGGGAAGCACCAGCGTCAAACGAATGTCGCGGCCCGCTTCACGCCTCGGTAACGCCGCTGGGGGGCGGTGTTTAACGCTCTTGGGGCGTGAAAACCGCATAACGCCGCTGGGCGGGAACGGTATACCTATGGCCTAAATTCTATTTTCTCTCTCACATCCTTCTAATTTCCTTTCTTTCTTCGCTTCTATCAAACAACAAGGGTAAATTTCACAAATGGTACCTGAACTTTAGCTGGAATTTCGAAGTGGTACCTGAACTTCAAATCCTTTCACAAAAATTCCTGAACTTACACAATCCTTTCACTAATGAGCCATTAGCCCGTTTCTAGGTTAACTTCCGGTCATTAGGGCCAAATTCGAATTTTATATATTTTAAAATTTTCAATTTGACCCCATTTCTTCNCAAATTAGACAAAATGGTTTGGATATTATTGATCCTCGTCTCAAGACGAAGTGAATGACATTGGTCCCGCCGGAATCGGAAAAAGTTCATTTTCCGGCGACTTTGATCGGCGGGCGGCGGCGGGGCGTGGAAGAAAAGAAAAGAAGAAATGGGGTCAAATTGAAAATTTTAAAATATATAAAATTCGAATTTGGCCCTAATGACCGGAAGTTAACCTAGAAACGGGCTAATGGCTCATTAGTGAAAGGATTGTGTAAGTTCAGGAATTTTTGTGAAAGGATTTGAAGTTCAGGTACCACTTCGAAATTCCAGCTAAAGTTCAGGTACCATTTGTGAAATTTACCCTTGTTGTTTGATAGAAGCGAAGAAAGAAAGGAAATTAGAAGGATGTGAGAGAGAAAATAGAATTTAGGCCATAGGTATACCGTTCCCGCCCAGCGGCGTTATGCGGTTTTCACGCCCCAAGAGCGTTAAACACCGCCCCCCAGCGGCGTTACCGAGGCGTGAAGCGGGCCGCGACATTCGTTTGACGCTGGTGCTTCCCCTCCCCCTCCTCCCCTAACGGCTCTAATAGCCGTTGAAGACCAAAAAAAATTTTGTTATAAATTTCAAACCCCCCCCCCCCCTCACATTCTCTCACACCTTCACTCTTCTTCAATCTTCTTCACACATTCTTCAATTTCAAAATCCCCCCTCTTTTCAACATGAATCCTACCGGCTCCGGCTTCTTTTCTGACAATCCCGCGCCAAGCGATGCCGCGATGTGGTATTACCAAGAGTTGGGCGATCAACCGCCAATCTTCGAGACGCAACAATCGGGGTATGTCGAGCGAGATTCGGTTCCGGAGACTCAACCGGAACCGACTGGCTCGAAAAAAAGTACATGCCGGAAAAGCCACAAAACAAAAGGCACGATGACCGAGGCGGCACGGTCAATCCAAAAGCGGACGCCGGAGGAGGAGTGCTTATTGGCGTCGGCTTGGGTTGACGTCTCCGAGCATCCTATCATTGGTAAAAATTATATTTTTTCAAATATATTTATGATTTTATTTATATAAAATTATATTTAATCGTATCATAAAAAAATTGTGTTATACTTTTTTAAAGGTTCGGAGCAAACGAAAGATGCGATGTGGGATCGTATCGAGGAGAAGTTCTTCACGGCGATGAACAAGGACGGCTCCTACCGTACCCGGGACCAACTCACTTCCAAATGGAGCCACATCAACCGTAAAGTCCGAAAGTTTATCGGAGTTTACGAGGAATGCTCCCGGTCCCGGAGGAGCGGGACGAACGACGCCGATGTTCTCCGGCTTGCCACGACCCGGTATCAAGATAACGGGCACCAAGGCAATGTTCCCATCGATCTTTGGAGGATTTTGAGCCGTTCCCCGAAGTGGCAACAACTCAACAATCCCGACAGCGGATCGTCAAAGAAAAGATCCTCCGTCGACGCCGAGGTTGAGGTCGACGAGACTATCGGTTCGTCTGATCAAATCCCTCCCTTCAACGTTGCGGATTCCGATGACGAGGACCCCATTCCACGGCCGATCGGAAGAAAGAAGGCAAAATCCATTGCCTCGGGTTCGGGAGGGTTCGGCTTTGCTTCCATTTCTTCTCGCGACGAAATTGGTCGGGCAATGGTTGAACAACTTCGGGTGTTCAATCTTCGAGAAGAAGAGAGGTTGAAGCTAAAAGAGAAGGAGTTGAAGCGAAAGGAGCAAGACGACGAGATCAAAATCATGGAAACCGACCTTTCTACATTGTCAGGTTTCAAACGGATGATCTACGAGCAAAGACAAAGAGAGATCAAGGCGAACTATAATTTACCTTAGTTTTTTTATTAATGTATCTTTTTTATTATTGTCGTTTTTTATTTTAATGAATGTAATTTTTTAAAATTTAAATTATTTTCATTTCAATTTTTTTAAATTTAATGAATGTATTTTTTATTATTCGTGTTTCAATATAATTAAATAATAAATTAATTTAAATTTAATAATTTAAATTTAGAAGATGTATATTTAAAAATGTAAAAAATAAAGGTTCGAAGCCCCAGTTTGAAGCCCTGGGGCTTCAAACCCATTTCCAGTGAATTTTTGGTGTAAGTTAAAGCTGACGTGGCAGAGAGAGACAGTTTGATGCCCCGGTTTAAAGTCTCGAGGCTTCAAACGTATTTCCAGTGCTCTTAGTAGAAAAAGACTTCTATCCACTTTTGGAGAGAATTGAGGGGAAAGTTGTATTTCCATTCTGTTTCTTTCCCGCGAAACAAACCAGTAAAAATTAGGCTTGGCAAACATTGATGTGACTTGTTTTTTATCTAATACTCGACTCGAAAATACTGGGTTTTAGACCAAGGTTTGCTGACCGAACTCGAAATGACCCGCTAAAAATGGGTCAAACCCGATCAAATCCAAACTGACCTGACCAACACGCTAATGTAAGAATTTTTTAAGATCATATATTTTAATATGAAATACAATCTTATAAAAATAAGATTATAATTATATTTCTTTGCTTACTTCTCGTTCTTTGTGTATAAATTCATATTTTTCATACAAAATTTTAATGATATCACATAATTATCTTACATTTTTCAAAAATAATGTAGATTTAATTTTTTATTTGTAATATTGACACTAGATCATAAAAATTATTTATAATTTCAAAAAAATAAATGAAACTCGTGACCCGTTAGGTTGACCCAAATTCGATGACATTGGGTCATGAACATGTAGTTTGATATTCGATTACACCCTAAGAGTGGAGCGAATTAGGGTTATACGAAGTTCGGCATTCAAGGCCAACATAGTTTTCAATCCAAACTCAAACTTATCCAATTCAAAGTAACTCGAATTAAGATAACCGAACCTGAACCTGACTTGTTAGTAACCTCTCTAGATAGAAGAGAATACACACACACACACATATGAAAAGGGATATGAATAGTTATAATCATACTACATATATAAAGATGGGGATATGAAAGATAATTTTAATTTTATTCTTAGTCCTAATCTCAATAGGTCTAGAAAATAGATTCAAGACATTTTCTAACAATAAGAATATATATGATGTGTAAGATAAATGAGTTATAATTAAACAAAAATATTACGGAGTAACAAAATTACCCATTTAAGGTCGATCTTTTTCGTCTTTTTCATCTTACACAAAAAGACATCCGATGTGGGACGAAAGAAATATATTCATAATGTTATCTTGTAAGAAGCCTCTTGGTGAGAACCGGAGATATATAGTCTAATATGTTCCATATTAGAACTTTTTTTGGATGTTGGGTGAACCATGAAAATGATTCAGGTTTGACATATCCTAAATCAAAATATTTTAATCTCTCAAAATTCGTAAGATTTTAATCAAAATTTTTAGAGTAAATTCTATAAAAGGTTCCTGGTTATAGGTTTTTTTACATATTTAGTCCCTACATATCAAATATTACTAATTTAGTCCGCAATTATCATATCATTTTTCACGAATGATCCTTTGTTAACGTTTTTGTTAAGAACATGGATAAAATTGTATATTCATACTTCTCTCTCTTCTCAATTAAGCTTCTTCCCTCCTCTCGTACTCTTTCCCAAACTCGTCGCTGAGTTTGAAGCTCTAAACCTAAAACTGAAATAACCACTGATCTCTCAATTATTAGTCTTCCTGGTGGAACCTAAAATCAAAACTAATAAGCTTTATGAATGAATTTATCGATTAGTCTCAAAAAATTGGAAAGAAAATAAACATTAAAATTCATCCATGAAGGTTACTGGTTTCGAATTTGGGTTCCACCAGTTCGACAAACAATTGAGAGAAGAGTGATGATTTTGGTTTTGGGTTTAAAACTTCAAACTCAGCGACGGGTTTGGGAAAAGAGTGCGAGTGGAGAGAGGAAGCTTAATTGAGGAGAGAAAGGAGTGTGAATTTACAATTTTATCCATGTTCTTAACAAAAATGTTAACAAAGAACCATTAATGGAAATAAATATAATAATTGAGGACCAAATTAGTAGTATGTGATATGTGAGGACTAAATATGTAAAACGACTTATAACTAGGGACCTTTTATGGAATTACTCAAATTTTTAATATCTTTCTCAATTACTGATCACTCCGTGATGTGGGCCACCTATCACTAACCACCACCACCGCCCAGCACCCAACATTACCTGACCCCCTATGCCTATAATTAACAACCATTAATTCAAATCACTTCTGTTTTTTAAAATACTAATAATTCTTTTATCATGTAATATATTTTTATACATTTTCAACCTATTAAAACTCAAAGAATTACTGCCCGCACTAGGGGTCGAACACGTGACCTCTTTCGTTTTAAATTTTCAAAACTCATATAGAGTATGATTACATTCAGTTTCAGAATTCATATCATTTTAATCTTCCAAAATTAATTAAGCATGCCTTAATAATCTACTCCGTAATTATTAGAGTACCCACCACACAAAAAATCAACTCAGGTTTAAACAAAAAAAAGTACTCCCTCCATCCCAATTTATAATGTATGTTCACTATTCACATGGTCAAACTTTATTCACTTTTTTTTTCTATTTTCGTTAGCAATTTGATAAAATAAAATACTATTGTCACTACTAGTTTTGTAGATCTTTTGATGTAATATTTTGATATGTAATTTTCATTTTTTAATTTTATACCATTTGTCATATAAAAT